GAAGCAAAATGTCATAAGAGTCAAATCGAAGCGTCGAAGTATTCTAAAATATCTTCCTCTCTACTTTATCAAAACAATCTGATAAACTTTGTATTGCACCGAAAATAGATTAGACTAGTGTAATGATGCAGAATACTTAAAAATTGTAGTCATGAATAACTTACAAGCAATAGTTTTCTTCTCCAAAAATATACGTGGAAACATCTGCAAGAAAGGAAATGGCGGCTGAGTTTCTTCAAGTTGAATCACATGAAGACCAGAACCATGATCAAAACATCCGACAACTTTGAATACAGTTGCAGCCGGAAGAAGTATATCATCCTCTGATTGATAATAACAATGTTTACGAATGTCTTTGCCTGAAATGCATTCGATGGCAAATATTGTTCTTGGACCTGTTTCGCCTAAAACTTGTTTAGTATCTAAAAGCTTTCTTGAGCTAGTACATGACGAGAAACCCCACCACGACACTGTTTTTCCTTTCTTATAGTGTTCATGTAAATCTAATTTGATTCCTCGAAAAACAGTTTGACGCGGAATAGATGGAAGACGAGAGAGTGCACTAATGAAGAGTTTGAGAAAGAGAAACCATGGCTTGAGATTTTCTCTATCTGTTGATCGCAAAGCTGCATTGAAGGCGACATATAAGCATTTATTGAGTGGCTTCCAGCCCATTGAATAAAGCATAATAGCAGCTGATTCATCTTGTGTTAAACCATCAACTGGCTCGCTACACTTCTGCTTGGCCAAATTAGCATAGTTTTGGATAGCTGGTAGAATAGAAGTGAGTGGTTCGACAGCTTGTTCTAGAGACAAAAGCGGCTTATGTTCATATCCGCGGATAGGCGTTAAAAATTTGAGTCGCTCTTTAGCAATATCAGTCAATCGGAAAATGCGATTGTTAAAGTGTGCTTCTGCTTTACTCATGGCCATCTTGAGTGTATAAATAATTTCAATAATTTCTAGACAAATAAATATATCTGAAAAAGTAAACAAATATTCATTATTGCTTAGTATGGTGTTCTTGTTTTTAAAATTGAACATGATAAGCTGTAGTATTGATAAAAATATTATTCACATGCACATCCACACACTCATTTTCTACATAATTTTTCTAAAAGAATTTGTCTATCAAAGATCATATTAATGATTTTCGAGTATTTTTCATTTAGAATAATTGACTGGCCTTGATCACCAAAGATCAAAATAGCAACTACAATGCGTATATCATGAATTGATGTGAAAAACAGTTTAGCCAATGAACTTCAAACAAAAGTCGCAGGTTGTTCATCAGTTAACGTTTGGACTGCATATATGAATCGCTGTAAATCTGTATAGAATTGCGCTACTCGATTTAATTCGAATAATAGATGTTCCATTTCATCCAGCTGTTGAGAATCACCTAGGTTGATGAAACGAATATTTGTCTTATTTGAAACTATCTATGTTGCATACCAATTTAAAGAATTAATCATTTTTATTCGACCATTACAAGTGACTATTCTTTTTTTATCAACGAATCTTCTGACACTTAAATACATATTTCTTTCCATGTAAGAAAAAGAGAATGTAGCATAGAAACAAAACAAACTTTCATTTTTTTTCTTTATTCTGTTCTTACAACATGTGTGTCAAACAAAGAATTGAGAGAATATAACGAAAAAGAAAAATTTTCAAGGACAGACACCTACGTCAGAACGTTGAAATCATGAAAGTATATTTGCTTGAATGAGTCAACACATTAAAATAAACGGGAAATTCTGCCATTACAAATACAAAGGAAAAAAATCATACATACTCAAATTATTCATTCAATGTTTTGTTTGCTAAAGCGAATAAGAAAGGAAAAGAAAAACCAATACTGAAAAAAAAATCAGCGACAAAAATTATTCATTATAATAGGCATACGATTCTCATGTTTCTTCCAACATGGATTTGTATGACTCACTACCATTTAGGATTCCTCAATGCAATGATTTTTTAAGCAAACCAATGGTGTTATCTAATTTTATGACAATGAGCATTGTGTGATGATTATATCACTACTTGCTAGTTGAAGAATAAATCGTATGTCTTTTTTTGGTTGAATTTTTTACTTGATTTCATTTTCAGGATAGGTTGAATATTTTCGAACTGACCAAATATGCTAGATACAGGCTGATTTTCATCAAAGTAAATCGTTTCCAAACGCTATACCATTGACTAACATGAAAAATCATAAAAATAATAGGATACTTTGATATATGATGCCGATTAGTTTAGAATACATTTATACTTTCTGAAACGTCAAAAAAAGTAGTGCGGATCATAATTAATAGTTAATATATGTGGTCGAATGAAAAAGTCTTTAAAACACGCGAGTGCATCAATATATTATTTTTTCAGAATATCGATCTAATCTTCATTCATAGAATAATTACAAGCGGCACTAGTTGTATTTCATTAGGAAATATTCCTAATACTTCAAGTGCAAACCAATGAAGGGTATGAATATGGGTCGCTACTTCACTCATCCAACACTCGCACTCTCATGGTGCTCAGAATATATTTTTATGAAATGAAAAGCCAAGAAATGATTAGATAATTAAAAGTTACACTGCTAATTTTCTATTTATTAATGAATATTCAGATGAATAATATTTACAAACATCGACGTTCGTATGTATTAATTTGCTTTCTACTCAAAGCTATGTACATCATTTAGATTCTAATGAGCTCTCAATACATTGAAAAAATACATGTTTCCGGTTTATTTCTGCAAAGATATTTAATAATTCCGGCAGTTTTTAGTATAACGTTGTGGTTCTCCTCAGTGTCACATGAAAAAATTTGCTTTCGAATTATACGACTTGAAGCTTGATACAGTGACAGTTCTCAATAGGAGTAGTTTGTTTTGAAAATTTTAAAGTGTTTGACCGCTCCTATCCTAAAATATGAACATTCAACAGTTTGTGTTGTAATTGATATGTGACAAAAAAACTTTCTCATAGTCATATATGGGACTAGAAACAACTCAAATTAAAATCTTCCTAGTTAACGAGTGTCAATGAGACTTTTCTTCGTGTAAATTTTCAAGCTGATAATTCGAAAGTTAATTTTATAAGTGAGGTTGAGACAATTCTCATTCATAGTCCTGAAGAATCCCAGTCAAGTTAAATATCTCGGTAGAAATAACCTAAAGATACGAACTCTTACCAGTCTATTACAAACTCATTAAGGTCTTCATAATGCAGATAGTTTCAATTTGAAAGTGGATTAATACTTGGAAAAGTTTCGTCATAAGTAGTAATTTCAGTTCTATTTAGAAATATAATAGTATCCTATATATAGTCTTGCATTCATTAGCTAAGAATATCACGACTCTCGTGCTGTTGATAATATAAATGACTTAACATTTCTGTGTCTAGTTTTAGGTTCTCATTCGACATAAATATATGTTGACTGGCTTTGGTTTCGATAGAATAATAGGTAAAAAAAAACAAATATTACAATGCACGGCTCACACTAATTACAATTCGTTCTAATCAATTTCATCGGTGAAGAAAAATGATTGTTAAAATAGAAGACAAAATACAACGTAGCTTTGTTTGTACCTTCTCAAAAGAGATACTTTTTAAATAAACACTCAACTTATTGAATAAATCTTCATAGCTATTTAAAAATATCATTGGCTCTAAAGATCTACAATGTAATATACATTTCTAATTTGGAATACGTTTTTTAAACTTCTTTTTTTTGATCTGCTACAAAGAAATTGAATGCTTCAATCCATTATCATATGATTGCCAACTTATGAGTTTTTCTTAACTGGAACAAAATATATACGATATATACTATACAACGACGTAAAAGATTTTAAAACAAGAATCGAGGTATAAATCTAGAAACTCTTAACTAACCAATTAAGATTTTGTCTAAATAGGTATCACTATATTTTACATAAAACTGACTATCTTTACGTCACGTATTACATACAGTAGCTGCTTCTGAAAATACTAAATATGAACAAACCACACGCCCTCCCTCTGCTCGAAAACAGTAAGTAACGTTAAATAAGACCCTGCGCTTAAATTTCAAAACAAAGAATACTTACTCGTTAATGCCACGAATGATTGAAAAATGCTCAGTATTAAACAGCTATTTATGAAGGTATTTGCGAAAGTCTGATTTTAAATGAATAGCGGACACGTATTTTTAATGCCTACCAAGGTTTGAATCGATGACAAATATTAGAGAAGTTACGACAGTTTGAACAGTTATTAGGATATAGATAGTTATGGAAACATAAATGGGTGACAAGTATAAAAACTTCTATGAAAGCTTTGAATATCTATAGAAGAATAAAATACCTTTGAAAGCTTTTAAATATTTATGGAAGAATTAGAGAGCTAGAAAATGGTTAAGTAGGTATGACAGAACTAAACAACTATTGAAAGAGTGAATAGCTGTCAAAGAATTGAATAGCGGTGAAAGAAAGAAATTTCTATGGAAGAAATAAATAACTAGAGAAGAATTAAATAGCTCTGAAAGGATTAAATTGCTATAGAAGAAATAAATAGCTATGAGAATTCAAAAAGCTGTACATTTTATTAAGTGCTTTACGTTAAAATAAACCGTATCTATTTTGAATATGAGTCATTTTTGACTGTATTACGTCACTATATTTCGTTGAGTCTATCGTGAAATGATAAATATTCATCATGACTATAATTTATACTTATATGTTTTACAATTTTCAGATGATAACTTTGATGATAAATTTCATTCTGAGCATCACATATCAAACACTAGTTCAGTTTGACGACAAAGTAGAGTGCGGTGTAGGTATGCGATTTAATGTGGAGCTTTTTTTCAGCCACACACATGATAGTAACTTCAGACATCTAAACCCACATCTGCAACCACAACAGTATCCTGCAATTATACTTACAGTCATGCAGTTGAATTTTAACCGAACCAAACTGAACTCAAAAACTTCGTTTTGTTTCGGTCTCTGATGTCGATCCGCCAATTTCCGCTCTCACCGATCGAAAGAGTTATGAATACATTATTCTATGTAAATTTTAGTAATGACGCTATTCGTTTCAACGAAAGGAAGTTGTTTTTTTATTTTCATACGATTATCTTTAAGGAACTGTCTTTTAAGTTAAGTTGCTGGCAGTGGCAAGCTACTGTTTTACTTTATTAACGATCCAACGCTTGGATCACTAGCTCTGACGGATGTTCAGCAAAAGCTAGAAGATATTCTGCTTCTGATTATTAATTTTCTACTACTTACTTAATTCATTAGTTTAAGTTCCCAGTATGTGAAATAATGAAATAGCTGAAAAAAATAGTCAAAGAATGTAGATGTACGTGTCAAATAGAAAAATAAATTTTGACTGGTGTCTTGATTGTGTAATAGTCTCATAGGTGATTTCGTCATGAACCTAGCGAGACTAGTAGGAGAAGATCATGATACGGCTTGCTTTGCGGGACGTGCGACTAGAGAGACTGTTCTTTTATCACACATATCCTGATCTCTTTATGCTTGCTTAAAGGATTTCTTTTAATACCTAACGAGAAAAAAGTGTAATGTTTGCCCTGCAATCGATACATCAATACCTCATACCTCAACAAGCTTTATTTAAGCATATATAAATAAGCAGATCGATCGAAAAATGGTTTGTAAGACATCAATTATTAAGCGCCTTTTAGAATATTTGAGCAAACATTAATGAGAAATATACGCTCATTTCGGGGTATTCAGTAGATTTGTCAAAACTTTCTGTCCGTCTCAGACATATAGCGTAGTGAATCATGAATAACCTTTTTTGCTGTTACTAGTAACTGACGAATTGAACCCTTGGCTTTCCACTTGGAAACAGAATCATGAACGTTTTAATTTCGTTGACTTCCGAAGCGGTAGGCTTTAATATTTAAGTAAGAAATCA